TATACAAACCGAATTCCATAAAAGTTGGGACACTGTACAAATTGTGATTAAAAACAGAATGCAATGATGTGGAAGTTTCAAATTTCAATATTATATTTAGAATACAACATAGATGACATATCAAATGTTTAAACTGAGAAAATGCATAATTTAAGGGAAACATAAGTTGATTTTAAATTTCATGGCATCAACACATCTCAAAAAAGTTGGGACAAGGCATTTTTACCACTGTGTGCATCCCCTCTTCTTTTAATAACAGTCTGCAAACGTCTGGGGACTGAGGAGACAAGTTGCTCAAGTTTAGGAATAGGAATGTTGTCCCATTCTTGTCTAATAAAGCTTCTAGCTGCTCAACTGTCTTAGGTCTTCTTTGTTGCATCTTCCTCTTTATGATGCGCCAAATGTTTTCTATGGGTGAAAGATCTGGACTGCAGGCTGGCCATTTCAGTACCCCGGATCCTTCTTCTACGCAGCCATGATGTTGTAATTGATGCAGTATGTGGTTTGGCATTGTCTTGTTGGAAAATACAAGGTCTTCCCTGAAAGAGACGATGTCTGGATGGGAGCATATGTTGTTCTAGAACTTGGATATACCTTTCAGCATTGATGATGCCTTTCCAGATGTGTAAGCTGCCCATGCCACACGCACTCATGCAACCCCATACCATCAGAGATGCAGGCTTCTGAACTGAGCGCTGATAACAACTTGGGTTGTCCTTGTCCTCTTTAGTCCGGATGACATGGCGTCCCAGTTTTCCAAAAAGAACTTCAAATTTTGATTAGTCTGACCACAGAACAGTTTTCCACTTTGCTAGAGTCCACTTTAAATGAGCCTTGGCCCAGAAAAAACGCCTGCGCTTCTGGTTCCCGTTTAGATATGGCTTCTTTTTTTACCTATAGAGCTTTAGCCGGCAACTGTGAATGGCACGGTGGATTGTGTTCACTGACAATGTTTTCTGGAAGTATTCTTGAGCCCATGTTGTGATTTCCATTACAGTAGCATTCCTGTGTGTGATGCAGTGCCGTCTAAGGGCCCGAAGATCACGGGCATTCAGTATGGTTTTCCCGGCCTTGACCCTTACGCACAGAGATTGTTCCAGATTCTCTGAATCTTTGGATGATATTATGCACTGTAGATGATGATAACTTCAAACTCTTTGCAATTTTTCTCTCAGAAACTCCTTTCTGATACTGCTCCACTATTTTTTGCCTCAGCATTGGGGGAATTGGTGATCCTCTGCCCATCTTGACTTCTGAGAGACACTGCCACTTTGAGAGGCTCTTTTTATACCCAATCATGTTGCCAATTGACCTAATAAGTTGCAAATTGGTCCTCCAGCTGTTCCTTATATGTACATTTAACTTTTCTGGCCTCTTATTGCTACCTGTCCCAACTTTTTGGAATTGTAGCTCTCATGAAATCCAAAAGGAGCCAATATTTGGCATGGCAATTCAAAATGTCTCACTTTCAACATTTGATTTGTCATTTATATTCTATTGTGAATAAAATATAAGTTTATGAGATTTCTAAAATGATTCCATTCTTTTTTTACTCACAATTTGTACAGTGTCCCAACTTTTTGGGAATCGGGTTTGTAAATAATAATAATAATAAAAAAACATCACTGAGCTTACTTAAACTGGACTATGATACTATTTTCTTCTAGATCTGCTGTACAGCTGAAACAAACTCAGTTGAATTATTTTTCCTGTTATCACTGCAAAGCCACTTTGAAACAATTTGTACTGTAAAAATCTCTATATGAATAAAGGAGACTTGACTTTAATATATAAAGATGTTTAGCTATTTGTATTGGAAAACAGGAAGATATTCAGAGGATATTTATTTTTTTGTAATGTATTCAACATTTAATGCATTGACAAAGAACTTTTTAATTTGTGTAAAGGACAAAATAAGACTAAGACATGCTTGAAACCATGAGTGTCTGTAGACGTTTAAGACTTTTACTCAAGTCGTATTGGAATTGGTGACATGTAACATGAAAACCATACTTGAGTAAAATGAGTCCATTACAAGTACTCTTTACACCTCATAGTTTCTGAAATATCAAGACACATTCCTCTGAAGACAGACAAGAGACACCAAATACCTCCGATCCTACAGATGAGCTCAAATCAACATTCACAAACACTTCCAAACAGATCTTATCAATCTCACATACAGTGTGGTTTGTTACACACCATAATGCAAATCTGACTGTTTCTGATTGCAATGAAGCAAGCAAACAAACATTATTGTACAGTTGTTTAAATTAAACAAGCCATCTTTGTGTTTATTGATATTTAATCAAATGTAAAGTCATGAAACCATGATATTAGTTTTTATTTTGAACTGAATTGAAGCTGTTTTTGCACTAATACCAGACTGAATTTGTTAAAATAACACAGTACCCAGTAAAAAAAATAATAATAATAAACTACCTATTTTTTTCTTCCAAAACTTAAATTAAGAATCAATACTATCACCACCACACTGCATTACTTCTCACATGTGCATAGTCGATCACAGAAGGCCAAATTTGAAGCACACATAAGATTTGAGAATGAAAGCTTTTGACAAACGTGCCACTCATTCACAGCTCGGAGCAACTCAGTGCTGATGATTTATTTTGTAAAGGTACATTTTCAATACCAGACATTCCAATTTACACCTGAAAAGGAGCAAAAGCGTCTTATATTCAGAACAAACCTAAAAATGGCTTGACATGAGAAAAAATGTACTGGAAAACAGATATTTACACTGCACAAGTAAAATGAAAATCACTTTTAAAAACAAGAATCTGTGAATTAGATCCCGGTGGGACATTAAGAAGCTGAAAGCAGTTGATTACAGCAGAAAGAGAAGGATCCACACAGTACAGATGTAAAACATGCTGATGTGCACACTGAAGCGGGACGGGAAGGGTAGACTTTAGGATGAGCACACACAGCTACTGTACTGACTACAGGAGACGCTCAGAACTTCTGCGAGAGCGTCTGTTTCTCCAGGAGAAGGTCTGCGAATCTCTGCTGCAGCTCTTTTTCTCTCTCCTGTTGCCTCTGAACATCCTCTCTCAGGGCCTGGATATGAACGACAGTGTTGATTAGTGATGATCATCTTATTTCTTATTCTATATGATTACTTGCATTTGATACTTTATTTCAACCGATTATCATTGCCTCGTTGTTGCTATATATGCATTTTAAATCATTTTAAAGGCTTCTGTTCACTTCGGTCTATTTTAATTAGAAAAAAATCCGATTACTCAGTCAAAATAATCGACCGGTTACCAAAATAACCATTAGTGACAGCCCTAGATACCAGCACCTGCATTGTTTTGCATTTTGTCATTCAGTCATTTTCAATAACATATTTTTTCATTGAAGATTTCTTAAAAATAGTGTTCAAATATTGTCTCATGAACTCAAAATTGTGTATCGTCTTGTGAGCTAAGTGTTTCATCACACTCCTTATCAGAACATCTAATAGAGATAGTAAAGTGTTTCACCTCCTTCCTGCGTGGAATGGCGTGGTCTTCCTGTTTCTTCAGCTCCTGGAAGGTGTGGAGCTCCACGTTTGCCTGTTCCACTTGATCCCAGAGTTCACTGAGCTGTTTGAGCAGTCCCATGGCCCGAGACTGATACCCGCCCAGAAGAATCTTCATCTTCTTCTCCATTTTCGCCGCACGCTTGGCTTCTGTGGTCATGTGACCTCTGTTAATCTGTCAGACACAGGAAGTGAGTGGAACGTTACAAACAAGACTGCAATCAGAATGATTAAAGATGACTTTGTTTTAATGAATCACTTTCAACTGTTCAAAAACTAATGCAGCAGGTCACAATTCAGTTTTTGCACTGAAGCCAGACTTGATTTGTCTAGATAAAAAGAAAGGTAAAATATATAAATAAATATATTAGAAAAATAAATAATAATAATGAAAAAAGGAAAACGTCAACTTAAAAAGAAAAGCTCATAAAAAAAGTATAATACACCGTATTTATAAATTTCAGAACTTTTAATTTGTGTAAAGGGCCAAATAAGACCAGCAAAAACCCTGCGAGTGTTAAAAATAAATAAATAGTATCCAAAAACAACACAAAAAAACCCACAATAAGCAACATTTAATCTCTGCTAAATTGAAACAGTTCTTGCTCTTGTCATGCTGCGATGGGAGGTCTAAGAAAAACCAGGATTCAATTCTTGCCTTCAGACACTGGCACCAAGAAATATTGAAACCATCGCAAATGTAAACCATTTTCAGACGTTCAATTTTGCAATAATGTGTGACATGCATAAAAGCAGTGAATTCTAAAAAGTTATGAGATGGAAACAAAAACAATAAACCTCCAACGTCAACACAGGCCTCAGAAACACACGCCATGTCTTTGGGCTTTAACAAACCATTATGCAATTATAATGGATCTGTTTTCATTCGAGCGCCTGACGTTTTCCAGGAAGAGTCCGGCTGCCAGCTGAAAGTCCTGACTGGGCATCTGTGGCTGGGTAAAACATCCAGACGCAATGCAGATCATCTTAAAGTGACTATAAGCTGATCAACTTCAAAATGTTGAAGAAAGAAATACTTCCTTTATTAATATTTCAGATTTAAGGTAGGTCATTTTCGGAGAGGCTAGCAATAGCGATCCCATCCTCCTTTCAAAGCGTCTCTAAAGCCACTACTTGTCCAAAACACATGAACGCGTGCAACCAGAGCAAACAAAAGCATTACGAGAGTGGGCATTAAACTCTTGTCTCAATGTACATAACATTACAATAATAAACAGCTTTAGTTGTATCACCTGACTGCTGCAGATTCACTTCAGACCGAATTCAATGATTGGACGAACATTTTATGGTCCTTTTAGGCCTTCCACAGACGATATATATATATATATATATACATACATACTGTATACACACACACATACATATATATATATACACACACACAACACACACATAATATATATATATATTATACATATACACACACATATATATATATATATATATATATCACAACAATTAATTTTTTATTTTTATTATGTGGCAGATTTTTTTAAATGTAAACTCAGAATATCTAATGTAAATATACCATTTTATTTCTTAGAATTATACATTTTTTAATACAATTACTATATACATTTTATATGTGTAAATTCATTTATTTCTTATGTTTTATAAGAGATTAATAACACATTAAATCTATCAGCTGAGGTGTGATTATTAACGTGCAGTGCAGATTCTGCCAGCATAAATCTGGAGATTCTGTGAATGAGAGCCGCGTGCCACGGCTTCCCTATTCCCGAAGGAACACCAGCTCCCCCACGACTCTGAACGTGCTGCAGTGTGAATCGCCTCCAAGTTTCCGCCACACGCTCCCAGCCAAGACATATGAGCACAAACGCAGTCTTTGTGGAAGGGGTGGGGGAGCTAATGAACTGAGCACGTCCTGAAACTGCAGACATCTGGCTGTCTGTGGCTACCATTTCTGTTTGTGTTAAACCAAGCATTAATGCCCAGGGGAAGTTTAGAGCCATCCTCATTAAAACAGAATTAACGGATTTATCACAAATTCTTTTGACTGATTAATTAAAAGGTTTACACTCTTGATAGCATTTAAGAGCACTAAGAGGAGATCAGAATTAATGGTCTCTTGTGCTAAAAGCAATAAGACACTCAAGTGATTTTAACAAAACCCTGAACGTTACTGAACATACAAAAAAAAATCCCAAAAATAAACAAAAATAAATATTTAAAAATACAATTAAAAGCTAAAAGCAATTATCCATGGGGTGGTGATGGTGCAGTGGCCAAGACACATGCCTTTGGTGTGAGAGACCCGGGTTCGACACACCAATATGTCCCTGAGCAAGACAGGTAACCCCTAGTTGGTCCAGAGGCATGCGACCTCTGACATATATAGCAATTTTAAGTTGCTTTGGATAAAAGCGTCAGCTAAATGAATAAATGTAAATGTAAAAGAAATAAAATACAAAAGAAAGGGATAAAGTAAAAGATGAAAAACAAAAAGTACAAAATGAATTACACAAATTACCCAACAAAAACAAAGAAACAAACAAAAATAAAATGTTAAAAGGAGCATTGCGTAAATTCTGACATTTCTAACCGTTACAGACACCAGTGGCCGTTAGAGAAACTGCAGCCAGTCTAATGCTGGTTCTCTGCGCATGCGCTTGCACACTCATTGGCCACACTAGATAAGGCTTTTTTTTTTTTTTTTTTACTTACGAGGAGTTTCCATGGTGTCTGTATTGTGCTGTATTGTCCATTTGAAACGCTACAGCTAGCGATTGCCACTGCTTAATACTGGCTGCCGTACGGATAAAAGCCCAAGAAGACGAAAACCGCAAAACGTCACAATTTGTGAATTTTCACGCCAATTCGGACCCGACTACTCCACACACAATTGAGCCTACAGGCTGATAGAGGCAACCATGGTGGACAGTCAAGGTGTCATTCTTTCTATTACATTATGGTTTGCTCAGAAATGTACAAATGAACACTATCTTAAAGATTGTTTTAAATAAAAACCTACACATAGTCTTTTTAAAATGAAAAATAAATGCTAACTAAAAAAAAAAAAGATTAAATGAAATGCCCAACAATAATATATATATATATATATATATATATATATATTATATATATATATATTAGGGCTACAACTAATCGATAAAATCGATTATAATTAATTGTGAAAATTGTTGCCAACGAATGTCATTGATTAGTTGGTCTGCTTACGTCGTGGGGATTGTTTACTGGTGATTGGTTGAAACAGGCCAATCATGATGCTCTCTGTCTTACATGCACTTCATGAGACACACGCGCAAGGTCTCTCTCTCCCGCCGCTCTGCCCTGCACATGCGCTACTCAGAGGGTTTGGAGCACAGTCTCTTCTGCTCCTGATTCCGTGAGTTTCAACTAATTTGCGGGCATCAGGGAACTGCTATCAATATGCGGGTGACTTCCAGAACTTCCAGGAGACTTGGGATGTCTGTATTTTGTCTTGAGCATCAGGTTGCGCAATCAGTTGGCTCGCAACATACGTGATGGATTAAAATAGCGCCACCACAGAAATAGGTTAAATTAAAACAGTGTTTACAATGTGAAGCACTACATATAAAGGAAATATAAACCCTGATCTAGGGAATATAAACCCTGATCATTATCAAAATAATTGTTAGTTGCAGCGCTAATATTATTATTATTATTATATTAAACACACTGCATGCCCTTTAAGAGCAAAAAGAATGGATTGGAATAAACTGTCTCTAAAAGCATTTAGACACTAAAGAGATTTTTATCAAAACCCTGATTAATACTTTTAATCCTTAAACATGAGCTTCAATCAACCAAACGACGCCATCTACTGGTTGCACAGGGAGAGGACAGAACACACGGATGAGTTTACCTCCAGCTTCTTCTCCATAGACTCGATTCGGTCCTTCTTGCTGGCCAGATTGGCTCGGGTGTAGCGGCTCTGTCCGGGCAGGTACAGGACCTGACTGTAACACTCCTCCCACACCTGATTATAAGCCTCCATAGAGAGATCACCATGACTCATCCCATGTTTCACCACCTCCATCTCCTGGCCCAGCAGCTCTCCTGCCTTAAAACGCACACATTCAGCATGAACTTTCTGACGCATTAGGAGTGATGTACTTTTATAACTGAAGATAACTGATGCCGGAACCAAATATAAGACACATTTTTTTGCAAGGTGACATTATTTCTGACAATTAAGCATATTCAATTTTCAACACTGCAAAGTAAAGAAAATTATCCCGACTGAACGTCCTGTTTTTTTTTTTTTCACACAGCATACTAATTATGATACTTATTTTGTAAATATATTTGCAACAGCTAATTAAAAAGCATAGCTACTTTATTTCGGGGTGAAATTTTTTTACACTTTTGCGAGATTCACACTTCTAAATAATTTTCCAAGGTCAAGTGAGTCTGTACCTGCAGAACGACAAAAGCTCCAGAGATTCACACAGAATTTTAATGTCATATTTAAAATTCTAGACTTCTCCAAAGCCCTGTGTGTTCTCAAGTATAATTTAATGAAATAATTTAATAAAGCACTCTCAGATAATCCTCCCAGATAAAAATAAAAGTTCCTGTCCCATATGGGTCCAATAACTAACCAAAGCAGCAAACCTTTTTGAGCTCTTCCTCCGAGATCTTATCATACGGTGTTTTCTCCAGGTAGGAGATGTGCTCTGCGTTGTTGGAGCTGGATCCCACTCCTTTACCCTTCCTGGCCTGGATGTCACTGAAGGGGTGATGCAGACAGTCGTAGTGGATCATGGTGATCATCTCCTTCTTGACGAGTTCTTCTGCCAGCTGCAGGTCCGTCAGAGGCGGCTCCACATTATGAGGCCGGAGTATCGTCTCATTCACCTGAACACACAGATACAGACTACATCACTTTTTTTTTAAGTACTATTTCTTTATCTATACAACTTAAAGGGTTAGTTCACCCAAAAATGAAAATTAAGTCATTAATTACTCACCCCCATGCTGTACCAACCCCGTAAGACCTTCGTTCATCTTCGGAACACAAATAAAGATATTTTTGATTGAATCTGAGAGCTGGATCACTCTTCAATTGGCTTCCTAAGGGACTGGCTCTTGACGGCCCATAAAGTCATTAAAGAAAAGGTTTAAATATTCCATGTGCCTACAGCGGCTCAATTATAAGTTTATCGAGTGACGAGAATACTTTTTGTGCGAAAAAAACATAAATAACGGCTTTATTCCACTATTCCATTACTTCCTTATGGGCGCATGCGCGAGAACTGAGACGAGGACGTTCTCATTCGTCTACTTCTTGTTACCGGCTGCTCACCGCTTAGGAGTTTTACCGCCACCTACCGTATAAAATGATGATCCATATATAAGGCGCTCCGGATTATAAGGAACACTGTCGTTTTTTGAGAAGATTAAAGGCTTTTAAGTGCACCTTATAGTGCGGAAAATACGCAAATTGAAAAGCGTATGTACAGCGCGCATCTTCCTCTGCTTGTAAACAGAAAGTTTTGCGCTTCCAGCTATATCAGCACATCATCTTATACGGTAGGGGGCGGTAAAACTCCTAAGCGGTGAGCAGCCGGTAACAAGAAGTAGACGAATGAGAACGTCCTCATCTCAGTTCTCGCGCATGCGCCCATAAGGAAGTAATGGAATAGTGGAATAAAGTCGTTATTTATGTTTTTTTTCGCACAAAAAGTATTCTCGTCGCTTGATAAACTTAGAATTGAGCCGCTGTAGGCACATGGAATATTTAAACCTTTTCTTTAATGACTTTATGGGCCGTCAAGAGCCAGTCCCTTAGGCAGTCTATGTAGGACTGATCTAGCTCTTAGATTCAATCAAAAATATCTTTATTTGTGTTCCGAAGATGAACGAAGGTCTTACGGGGTTGGTACAGCATGGGGGTGAGTAATTAATGACTTAATTTTCATTTTTGGGTGAACAAACCCTTTAATGACGCAAAAATTATGGTGCACTTTTAAGAACTAGTGTTTAACACAAACCATCATCTAGTCAATTTTTTTTTTATTATGTTGCGTTCCATACTACCCTCTGAAATGTGTTGCAAATCTTTAAGAAAGTATGTTGATAAAAAGTGTATTCAATAAGCATTTAAAAAAAAAAAAGCAAGGCTGATCAAAGTGCCGCACAACCATAGATACCTAATGGCGCTTTTCCATTGCTGCTACAGCTTGGTGTGGCTCAGTACGGTTCGGCTCGCTTTCCTTTTTATTTTGTTTTAATTTAAATTTCCAAGTTTTTGTAATTAAGTTTAGTATTTTTGTCATTTTTTCTTTTTTTATGTTTACAAATGTGTTTTATTTGAGTTATTTTATTACAATAACCCTGTTTGGAGAGATCAGCAAGTAAGGATGTCCTCACCTCTGAAGGTCTTGGTAAATCTCTCTGAACTGCCGTGTGTCTCTGACGCAGCTCCTTCTCCCTCTCAGCATCTCTTATGGCCTGTGGAAATGTCACGCATGGTAAATAACACCAAAAACAAATAAACACACACTAAATACAGCACCCAATGGGTCTTGGGCGATCGCTTTATGAACATCAGTGTGTTTACAGATCACAGCGTTTAGTCAACGGACCTGTTTACGCAGTTCTATCTCGGCCGCATCCTCCACAAAACTCTCGTCCACCTCAGCTTCCTCCAGCTCTTTCTCAGCGTTTTCAGGAAGAACAATCTCAAAATCATTTTTGGGCACAGGCAGAGACATCAAGCCCAACTTGAGCTGCTCGCGGGACTCCCTTTGCTGGAACAAACAGAACAAATCTAACCATGATGCAAAAAACACACTGCTGACACATTTGTACTTAAATGAAAACTGCAATAAATCCACTGAAGGACAATGATTTGACGCACCAAGTGTTTGGCAAATGACGGGTCACTGTAGTCCACACTCCCCTCCTCTGTGTTTATGTTGAGTTTGTCCCGCAGCGGGGTCCTTCCCGGGGTCACGCCCACCGAGGGTTTAGGAGTCATTCCACCTTGAGGGGTCATGCCCTCCGCTCCATGGCTGGGGGTTCTGGGAAACCATATTCATAAAGGCATTATTCACACAGCTCATTAACCTGAAATTTAGCATATACTTTAAAATTATGATATAATTAATGCAGATAATAATTGGTTTAAAATACAATTATGACAAAGTTTGAAGTTTGTAAGAATTTGTTTTCAAAAGTATTCTATTCCACTCACCAAGGCTGCATTTATTTCAATAAAAACATCGTAAAAACTGTGATATTGTGAAATATTACTTTTTTTATTTGAATCTATTTTAAAATGTAATATATTCCTGTAATGTAAAGCAGAATTCCATATCCTTACTCAGGTCTTCAGTGTCACATCTTCTGCTCAAGAAACATTTCTGATTATTATCAATGTCGAAGACGGTTGCTGTTTCATATTTTTTTTGAAAACTGACTGTTTCAGGATATTTGGAAAAGTTCAAAAGAACTTTTAAAATATACATCTTTTGTATATCAATGTCTTTACTGTTAATTGAATGCATCCTTGTTGCATAAAAATATTAATTTTATTCAAAATAAATACAAAAACCCAAATCTTTTGAATGATACTGTATATTATAGCTCCAGCACTAAAATCTATAATAATGTGTACAACCATAACTTACTGTGTAGAAAATGGTTTATTTTTTTCTTTAAAATATTTAATAATAATTTTGACTGAACACTGTTGTCTTGTGTCTGTCATTTTGTTTAAGCAATAAGCTACTCAAGGACGTGTGATACAGTGAATTTTTTGCATCAACAACCCAGAACAATAAGACCATATCACTTGTAAACCACTCTTAAGTGGCATAAAATCAGCATGAACTCAAATTCGGCAAATCTTTTTTATATGTAATATTGTGCACAATTTCTGGTATTTGAGGCGCCGTTTATTGGGTGCTAAGAATTTCTATAAAATGCGCCTGTATGTAGCTCATAGCCAATCATTTCAATAAAAAAAACACAAGTATTAGTACACTTTAACATAGATGTTGAAGTTGTTATTTGCATTGGCCATTTTTTTCGCTTTTACTTCACAAGTTAAAAAAAAAAAAATCATTTAATGACTAAAGTGACAACAACTTTAATCAGGTACGTGTGCACAGCTGAAAGTTATGCTACTAAAGCAGTAACTGTATAATGATATTGAAAAGCAACACAACTTAGTGGCATTGTGACAACCACAGTAGGTAGTGTACAGGTATAATGGCCGTGACATCACGTGCACTGGCCTCCACTGACTTCATTCCTATTGGTTGTTGCTTCTGAAAGTCGCTCTTCATTTGCATTAAATGAAACATCTTAACTTTATTACATTGCTGGACACGCCTACATCCTGTCATCAATGGTCACAGTCGCTAGTCTTAGGAAACCACCATCTCTCCATTGAAATAAATGGGATGATGTCGCTTTGTCGCTGACAGTGTGAACGCAGATTTACTGTTTTAATACTGCATTTTATTTTTGAAGACGTTTTACAAAACTTAATTACTATGATTATGAATATGCTAACCTACATTTTCCATTTAAAAGTTGACGTTTTCATGAATGATGGATACCTGAAGGGTGTAGACAGCACGGTGTTGGGCGTCTGGACCACCTGTCTCTGTGGAGTGACACCAGAGAAGTCACTCTCATGGAGGGGGGTATTCAGTCCTCCTTTAAGAGGGGTGTCCACGTTCGTAAGTGCCATTAAGTTCTGGGCTTCCTGTGGGCGTAAAAGAACTGAGCAGTGAGACTCAGGGCAGAATATTAAACAACCAGTTTGAAAAGTGCGTGAAACTGCACCAAACCTGCAGGATCTTGTCCTGTGCCGCTGGAGTTTTGGGTGTGCGCAGGGCCATGGAGTTATTGGTCACGTTGTATTCAGACAGGAGGGCGCTGGAGGCAGAGTTGGTGATCCCAGACTCCTCTGCGGTCTGACGGGCGATTTCGCTGGCCTGACCCAGTTTGACAACCTCCTCCAGCTCAGCATCAGAGATCTAAAATCAAAACAAATCCATAAAATGTAGTTATACAACAAACTATCTGCAAATCAATAATAAAACGCATTAATGTGTTGGATTAGTGTTATTTTAGTATTATTTATATACTATTATAATATTTTACTTTATTTTTTATAATCAGGTTTTTTATACTTCTGTTCAGATTTATTTATTTGGTTCACATGTTGCAAAAGTGTTATTTCAGTATTTACATTCAATTATAGTATTTATTAATATTTTGAATTAGGTTTTATTTTTATATTTAACATTTATTTGTTCAAGTTTTTTGCTTTTGTATTTTTTCTATTTCTATTTCACTTTTTTTATTTTAAGTTTTATTCATTTTAGTAAAGTTAGCCCTCTCTTTCTTTACTTTTTTAATTCAAAAATTAACATATTCAAATCTAAAAATAAATAAGATGTTTAGGATTCTTGTTTTTTCTTCCAAAAAACCTTGAAAAAATGTTGAATTATTTGGTTAAAAAACCTTTTCAGAAGTATCAACAGAATAAAAAAAGTTCCTCAAAGGGATAGAAGTATTACATCACAGCATGTTTAATGGACAGAAGATTATGACAAGATGAACACTTTAGTGAATTTTCTCCTGATAGTAAACATTTATGCGAGTCTTGAGTGTCCGATTCAGCATCGAGTACGGATGCAAACGGTTAATCGACTATCAATTAATTGTCGACAAGAATTTACTCGATTAAATTAAATTAAATGTCGGCTAATTGAACATTGCGAACGTGACACGATGTTCTCACACAAACTTGAGAGCCGACACAAACTTGAGGCGTCAAAAAAGAAACCAAACATGAGGCGGACAAAACGGAGTGGAGTGCATCGATATTGACTACCAGTTATACAGCGTGCAAACCTCGCAAAAAATCCAGTATTCTAACAATAATTTAGCATATAACTATACTGTACAACATAACTGTCTGTCATAACTGACAGCATAACTACATAACATAATAACATAACTGTCAACACTCCCATTTTCCCGGGTTTCTCCCGTTTTTTTTTAGCCCTATCTCCCGGACCCCTCCCGGTTTGTTATTTTTCCTGGGAAACTAGTCTAACTGTCAGTCACACTTTCATAAATGGTGTGTTTACTTCGCATTAAGAGCAAAAGGGGTGTTCGAGGCGCACGGCACATAAAACACAATTCTGCCGATAGTTCAACAGGGATCAACAATCAACTCTCCTCCTCAGCTCTTATTTCCACTCATTACAAATTGTACATTTGACTACCCCCTCAGCTTTTACTATAAGTGCTGCTGCTAATATTTCAAGTTTTTTATATAAAAAAGTAGTTTACCAGATAGATTATTATATGTAGGCTTAATATAGTGTAGGTAGGATAAGCCTACCCATATAGATTTTTATTTAAAATTAATTTAATGTTGCTTAATGTTTCACATGCAACAGGTAAGCCAGTGCACAATTGTTTTTTTTATGTATTTTAATTTTTCTGTGCATAATTTATTTTGTTAAACTACATAAATGCCATTATTCTGTGACGTATCCCAACTGTTACAATAAAACATCAATTGAACGGATTGACTGGGTGGTTGAGAAGGCGTTTATCCAGTTTGTGTTTAAAGCCTAGTTCACACTACGTGATTTTAAGCCCGATTTAAGCCCGATTTGCAAATCGTTGAGTCGCCGACAAGTCAGGGTGTTATCGCGTGCAAATCACGGGCGATTAACGCTCGCCAATCAGTTAGTGTGAAAGAGCCAACAACGCATCAAAGACAGCTCGCAGACACCTCGCAGACAGGTCATCGAGCTCAGAAAAATATCTAGCATGCTAGATATCTCGCGCGACTCAATCTCAGTGATGTCATGAGTACAGCCAATCATAGCAACGCATGGGTTGAGGACACCAGGTAAATCTTACTTTTTCTTTTTTGCATTTTTTTTTTCTCAGAGCATATCGTCGAGCAAACAGTGTGCAGCACTAGTTTCTGTCTGACGTCCATATTCGCGTGTTGTGTTCTTCTCTGCAGTTTCGCGTCATTTCTGGTTCGTTTTATTGCGTGGTTTTTCGTTACAAAACATGGTTTCTAGACCAGATAGAATCGTGTTGTTGTCAACTCGTTATTTGTTTGATTATTTTCAGGATTTAGACCGTATTATAGTACTGAAACAGCTCTCATTGAGTCACAAATGATATGCTCTTATCATCCGATCTTGGTTGTATCTCTATGTAGTGCGTTGTTAACTCGTGTAGTGAGTTACCTCCTGTTGTGGATCAATCACGTTGTGTTGTGTGGTGTGAACAGCTAAACAACTTGAACACTCATGATTTCACTGAGAGCAAGGGCCAATCCCAATTCTACCCCTTACCCCTTCCCTTTCCCCTAGCCCTACCCCTTCGCCTTCCCCTTGACCCTTGAAACAGAGTGGCAATGCGTAGGGGTGAAAATATTCCCCTAAGAAATGGGACACCACTACGCCTCCGTTAAACGTCATTATAAGTCGTCGCTAGCGCCTACGTCACAGGAGATGCGCCGATGTTTATCACAACTTCCAAGATGCCGTCGACAGCTGCAGTTCTCAGTCGCGTGGGTTACAGCTATTTTCTTGCATCTTGTGAAGTTCGCAGGAAACAACGGAGACGACGAAAATATGTTGCGGGACTATCGTTAGCAAACTACAGTAATTTTAGCGATTTTTTTTTTTTTTTTTACAAACGTTTCTGTGAAGAAACTGACCGTAAATATGAACACAATATTGAATGTAACATAAAGCAAATCATTATTTGTCGTTATAATACTTATTAAAGCCACAAATACTTAAATTTATGGGTCTCCTTTGTCGCTTGGGCAGCCAGCCTGGGTTAGCAGTGACGCTTCTCATACCCCTTCGTTTGAAGTGTGCTCCCGAAAAATCTTCGTTTGAAGGGCTATCTGGCCCTTCACCCTAGCCCTCCCCCTCCAACCAAAAGAGAATTGGGACAGCCCTACCCCTTCACGTGGACGCGCAAAACGGAGGGGAAGGGGAAAGTGAAGGGGTAAGGGGTAGAATTGGGATTGGCCCCTAGTCATGTAGTGTGAACTGCACAGTTCAGCCCGACATTTTAAAATCATGTAGTGTGAACTAGGCATAAGGCAAGAAACAGAAGTTAGTGATCTTTCCCACGGTTAAGGTGGTAATGTTTGTGCTGAACTGACCTGTGGTGCCGGAAGCACCAGTTTGCTTCTCTTCTTTGTGAACTCTGACACTCCACTGGTCTGCAAGATGGCCGAAGGCAGATCTGACTCCTTCTTCTTCTTGATCTTCTGTCTGTCCTTCTTTCGTTCGCGATCCTCCTTTTCACTATACACAAAACAGCAGAGAGGCGATCAAAAAGATGTCCATCCGAGCCACTGAAGTACCTGCAGCTCAAAACACGACCCCGCTCACCTCCTGAGATCTTTATCCAGATGCTGCTGGCGCAGTCGCTTGAAGTCAGGCTCCAAAGGATCATACAGCTCCATGGACGTATCGTAGAAACCCTGAGCGGGTTTCTTTTCAAACGGGATCTCAGCATTATAGTCGACACCTCTCTTCTTCTTGCGCTTTTTCTGGATGTCTATACCTGCCGCTCGCAGTTCCCTGCGCTTCTGAAGAGCTGCCAGACGACTGCGAGAGACAACGCAGGGAAGAATGAACAGTGAAGACGGCTTTATAATTAACAGCTCCAACACTGTGAGAACTACTAAAATCCTCATTATGACGCCAACTACACTTTTACATTATAAAATCAAATCGACAACTAGAGTTATTTAGTTAACCCAAACTAGTGACATCTGGCATTGGCCGATAAGTTTTTCTGTTTGGTCGATGTGTTGTAAGCGAAAAAGTGTTACAGCATTTGTTTTCAGCTTAAACTTTGCTGCGCTCTATCCAGTTGGCCACGGTGTTATATTCATTTCACTGTGTTGTGTGGAAAATTAGAGTTACGCTGTAAATATATACATACTGCCAGTGCACACAACCTTACCAGATTACCGTGCGTCCTTTTTGTTACAATGTTCACTTTTTATTTACATATCTTAATTTCTTGTAGAAATAAATTATAAAAAACTATACAGCAAAATAAGAAAAAGAAAATCTAAACATTCAAAATATTACAAAAAATTACAGTAGTATCTCAAAAGATTATTCAATGTTACCCCCAAACGACAAGATCTTACCGTGCTTCCTCCAGCTGTTTCTCTCTTGCCTTCCGCTTTGCCTTCTTGCCTTGTGTGTTGGCCAATCTAGCTCTTGCTTCAGACAGCATCTCCAGCTCATCTGCACAAGCATTTGTCAATGGTACGCGTTTTATCTTTCATTGCAGTGTTAAAGTGTTTTTCTTCTTCTGACATTGCATTAAACAGACACCCTCACCTTCATCCATATCCACAGGGTCAGGTCTGGCTGGTTTGGTCTCAGGGTTTGGGTCGATCTCTCCCGGTTTTAGTTTGCGAGGGTCATCGCCAACATCATCTTCATTCTCTCTCTGAGCAGCTTTATCTCTGCGGTCATAAAGAATTAATTCAAGCTTATCTTGATTCTGCGAAAAGGTGCATGCAAAGGCAAAGGTGCCATTGGGGATTGGCCTGAATTGTGAAAAGTTAACCTATAACATTAATGATTTATATTATTTTTATCTGAGGGTAAAAAAATGGTTTAAATGGAAGTTATTACATGAATTAATTCAAGCTTAACTTGATTCTGCAAAAAGGTGCATGCAAAGGCAGAGATGCCATTGGGGATTGGACTGAATTGTGAAAAGTTAACCTATAACATTAATGATTTATATTATTTTTATCTGAGGGTAAAACATGGTTTAAATGGAAGTTGTTACATGTTTGTTTGTTTTTTTTATTCTGCATCAAACAAATGTACTTACAGCAGAAATTCATAATGCTCCAGACACTGAGCAGCCGTTCGTCCAATGATAGGGGCGATTGTTCTCCACTGAGTAGGCATCAGTTTAGCCAAATGAAGAAGTTTCTCCTCTTCCTCACGTGACCATTCTGTTTTCTTAATGCTGGGGTCCAGCCACTCATACCTGCATGAAACACACCATATGTGAAAAACATATGCATGCATACAGTTGTTCTTAAGGAGATCATTTAAATGTACCAATGATGTTCAAAAATGACATGTTACTAGGTTGAGACATCACCTGAATAAGACGAACTCAAAGATATAAACTCACCATCTGGCTTTACACTGTTTGGCTGATTTGCGGTGCAGCAGGGATGCGATTCGAGACCACTGATTTTTGCCATATTTCATTACAGCTGCTTTGAGAATCTCATCCTGTTAATAAATCACACAAAAGACATGACTAATTAAAGAGGTTTTACAAAAAACAGAGAGCCCATGAAAATGGACGCAACAACAAGACTGACAAATGACAGATTATTTTATTATTACTAACCTAATTTGAACTTTGAAAAGCTGAAAATTGTAAATCAACTCAAACATTTTTTCACCATAATAAAATAAAGTGACCTGAATACATTTAAAAAGTTTAGCATACTTTATATAAGAAACATCAGTGTCAATGAAAAGCAAGGCAAATGTCACTTTTGAGCATATGCGTCAGGTGCCACAAACAAAGAAGCTGAAAATTAACAAATAAAATAAAGGGATGCAAGATATATCGGCCACCATATTGGTATCGATAGATCTATGTTAATTTTAATATCATTGGCCTGATAAGAAAATTTGGACAATATATTTAAGCCGATAAATAATGGATTTTATCCTTCGGCCGAGACATTTCAGATGCGCACTGTTTGAAATTATGGTTTTGAATTGCATTAAAAAATATGATTGGAATCACTTCAAAAAAGGAAAATAGTTAAGTAGGGCAGCATTAATCTGTCATATCGGCTTCATAAAATTATAAGAACAACATTATAGATGTCTGTTTTGGAAATGGCTTTTAATGGTGAGACTTTTGTTTTTGTAATCAGGATCTCAAAAATTATATTAAATTTTCATATCAGTGATTCGGGGCATCCCTATCAAAAAACGTTAGTCTACACACGACCAAAAGCCATAAATGGAAAACACCTATAAATTAGAGATATCTTGACAGGTAATACGCGTGTACTTTAACGTTTGATTATGTTATTAAATATATGATTTTAAAAACAGTAGTATTGTTTGTGTTCAATCTTGACGTATTGTGTATAACTAATATTCTTGCCTAAACCTATCTAAACTTTGTGGGTATTTTACCTTTAGATAATTACAATTAATAATTAAATTGATGTTTTGATAGTTTATTAAGTCAAAATAGAATTCATAAAAATGTGTAAGTTACAACATAGGCTACAACGCGAGCTGAAATCATTCTACATAAGTTACATCATCACTCACAACATACAGAGAGAAGTAAATGAAACCACAGCAACACGAATGTGAAGAATTCAGATAATTAATACCTATTTGACGTTTTAATGCCTTTAATTAACAAAATGCTCATGAGTTTTAATGCTAAAATACTGTGTGTTTTCTAAACAAACCTCTGTGTTGCGCCACACGCCTCCTTTAATCATAATCCGCGGCATGTTGGCAATTCAAAGTCTTCACACGGCTCGCGCAGAAAAATCTTGTTCTGGAACCACAAATATGTGCAATTAAAACGAAATAAGAGAAATACACTGAGTTTATGCTGCAGCACGTTAAACTGCAGATGGGGAAACCGAAATGGCTGCGAGCGCACAGAACTGTGGGAAGCAGGCTCTTCTTCATTGATTCATTCGGGATCTGTCACTTCTCTTGAACTAAACAACGCCCCCACCGTCAGAGAGGCAAATGACATACTCAACAAACTGTTGCACAGGCAGTTATAACAGTTTAATACATTTTGCTTGTGTATTTTTTGGAATTCCATAAAATAATTTTGATTTAATGAAAGTATATGTCATTGGATAATTTTATTTTGTGAATTAAAATGCAAAATAAACATCAAAGTTGCTGCATCTACCAGAAAGTATTGATATTTCTAATTATATAATATACTAGCGTAGTGATATAGAACTTAGTATGTGATTATTTGTTTATTTTATTTGATTTTATTTACATTTAATTTATTTCTATTCTATGTTGCTTTATCAGCATTTCATTGTGTTGTTTTCAGTTGCTTGTCATTTGTGTCAGTTGCTTGTTGAGATATGTAAAGCACTTTGCATTGCATTGGATTTGTTTGAAAGGTGTTATAGAAATAAAGTTTTAATGAATTGATTCAATTGTCTCAAACTTAAAAAAAAAGAAAAAAAATTGCTTTTTCCTTATCTAGCCTACAATTCTTTTGAGTTCACCTTCAAGAACACGAGTTTGGACAATGTCTGAGGCTTCAGACACATGCGGTGGTTTCTTGAAAGCAGGCCAGCAGCGGAGAAAACCCTCTCTGCGCTCCCAGACGGTGAACCCGCTTGGGGGTGCTGAATACAATGCAAGCAACTTTAGTCAGGCGGGGAAAAGACGTGGAGTTTTCTCGTGGTGTCAGCGGAGCGTGAAATAGGGCGACGCTCCGTCCTTTTAAAAATATTGGGAGGTGTAAACGGCATTTACGTGCATTTAGCCTCCACTACTTCCCTGGGTGTATGACATCACAGTACTAATTCGAAAGAATACAGCAGTGATCAACTTGAAGAAGCACTTTACAGAGTACAGAGTGATTAGTGTATGACATCACAGTACTGATTCGAAAGCATACAGCAGTGATCAACTTAAATTCAGCACTTACAGAGTACAGACGATTGGTGTATGCAGAGGTGTAGTGGTAAAAAAAAGAGGTGGGTAAACTATAAATTCTGGTGGACCAAGACGTGGTCACCAGGTAAGGTGGGCCACTGCCTACCGGTGTATGTGTGTCTCCTGATGACATGCTATATAGGGAGGGCTCGACATTAAGCCTTTTCATATACGCTATAAGTAAATCTGCACTTGTCCGAGTAAAAAAGTTGCTCGTCCAGTTTTGTTTTTTATTTTTATTTACCCGTATTTTCCGCACTATAAGGCGCACTTAAAAGCCTTTAATTTTCTCAAAAAACGACAGCGCGCCTTATAATCCGGAGCGCCTTAGATATGGATTAATTGGTTAATAACGCTTTGCGTTATTAAATTCGCGTTCGCGCTCGTGTCCATCTTATGCCCGCTCTGTCAAACGTCCAGTTCATCCTCGTATAAATCACTGTAGCCTACCCAGCGTTGCTCGCGTGTAACAGAATGTTCATACGCGCTCCACTCAAATCGCCCCCCTGCTCGCTCCAAAAAACGAAAAAAATCTGCATTTATTTGTAATTCACTTTTAGGTTAGACCACAGCCTTACCTTACAAAGAACTAAAGACCAACAACAACATTTTCCAAACAAATGTTTCATTTCAAATTACAAATTAGGACTAGCCAATGTAAGAACAGGAATGTAGCATACACAAAAGTCCTGTGAAATTAAACGAACAAATGGGCCTAAAAAAACGAAAAAAATTTATATAAATAAAAATATACATAAAAGTTTTTAAAGCAAATTAACTAGGCTATAGGCCAGAATTTTGATTACTGAACTTTTGCTCAACGCGCAAGATAAAAATTTAAATGGGTTTATAACCATTGTAGGCTACACACAAACTGCTGTATAATTAAATGAATAAATGGGCTAAAAATGATATAAACAAAACAACGCATTCTCACCCCAAGGCGTCACCTTTGACCATGCTTCAATATTTGACGTTTTAGGCGCCCTTTAGCGTCACTTACATGACGCGATCCTACGGCGTCATCTAACTGACGCTAAAGGAACGCGTCAGTTAGAGGACGCGGTTAGGTTTAGGTGTGGGGTGGGGGTAGGGTACACGCGATCCTAGGGCGTCATGTAACTGACGCTAAAGGGCGCCTAAAGCGTCAGATATTGAAGCATGTCCAAATGCTTCCCAAGGCGTCAGTTAGGTGACGCCTTGGGAGTGAGAATGGGCTGATATATATATATATATATATATATAAATTACTAAAAGTAGTCTAATTAATTATTAGGCCAGATTTTGATAAGCCTAACTGATTTTTCCGCAGCGTGCACTATTAAAATTTAAATTGGGTTTGACCTATATCATATAGCCTACACACAAAAAAACAACAACTGTAAAATTAAACGAATCAATGGGCCTAATTATATAAATAAAAATTTGGCTAGCTATAGGCCTACATAAACTTGCTAAATTAAAAAGTAAATTAACTAGGCTATTACCAGACTTAGGCTATATCTAACTGAACTTAGAGAGCATGTGGATAACAATTTAAATTGTCTCAAACTTAAAAAAAAAAAAAAAAAAAAAAAAAAAAGATTTGCTTTTTCCTTATCTAGCCTACAATTCTTTTGAGTTCACTTTCAAGAACACGAGTTTGGACAATGTCTGAGGCTTCAGACACATGCGGTGGTTTCTTGAAAGCAGGCCAGCAGCGGAGAAAACCCTCTCTGCGCTCCCAGACGGTGAACCCGCTTGGGGGTGCTGAATACAATGGAAGCAACTTTAGTCAGGCGGGGAAAAGACGTGGAGTTTTCTCGTGGTGTCAGCGGAGCGTGAAATAGGGCGACGCTCCGTCCTTAAAAATATTGGGAGGTGTAAACGGCATTTACGTGCATTTAGCCTCCACTACTTCCCTGGGTGTATGACATCACAGTACTAATTCGAAAGAATACAGCAGTGATCAACTTGAAGCACTTTACAGAGTACAGACGATTGGTGTATGACATGATTCGAAAGCATACAGTGGAGGCTAAATGCACGTAAATGCCGTTTACCCACCTCCCAATATTCGGGAATTGGGTTTGCACCTACAAAGTGCGTTTATCCACCTTTCAATTGCGTTTATCCACCTCTAAATATCCAACGCGTTCTCATCCCAAAGCGCCATATAGGACGCTTTTGCAAAAGCGTAAATATCCAACGCACATGGCACCCCCAGTAGTTCCTAAGACATTTTAAATTAAGCTTATGTCGTTTTAGTTTCATATTGTCCACACTCTAAAAAATGATGAGTTGGATTTACTTAAAATATATATGCACCATTTTTGTATCAAAAAATGTGCACATATCTTTTAAGTAAATCCAACACAGTGCAGGCCATGTGAGATCAAAATAAATCTTAGTTCTGTTAACTTAAAATTTAAGCTCATTTATATATATATAAAATAAGACAATTAAATCAGTTGAACCAACCATTTTAACTTAGTTTAGATCTTCAGCTTACATGTCTTAAAATAAATAACATGCAAATCACACACAATAAAGCATTTCACTTTATTATTTATTTAAATTGCATCTTAAAATATATTCAAATAGAAAATAGTTGTTAAAATAATAATAATAATATAGTCACAATATTACAGTTTTTCTTGGATCAAAGAAATGAAGGCTTGGTGGGCAGAAGAGACTTCTTTTAAAATATTAAACAATCTTAGTGTGTGTGTGTGTGTGTCTATATATATAATTATATATATATATATATATATATATATATATATATATATTATTTTTTTCAAAAAACAATAAAAAAAACAATTAAATGCAACAAATTAGTCCATTATTAAATACCTATAAATATAAAAAAATAGTCTATTAAATAATATCTATTAATTTAAACAAAACAGAAGTTAATTAATGACTTTCCTCCAGAGGTTATGAACGAATCTCTTCAAAAACATTTTAGCAGTAACTACTGGAAAACAGTAAAGATCTACAATCTTTATTTGAAGCTAAAGTTTTGTTTAAAGGGTATTTACTTATTTTGATAATAATTTTGAAGGTTTAATTTACTGAATTGTCGCTGTCATTTAGGAATAATATTGTGCTAGAATCAAGATTGCCATTATTTAATGATAAATCGTGCACACACGGAGCTGTAGGCAATGTGCTTTCGAATTTAATATTTGTATGTTAACGTTACCAAAAGTAGGCTAACCCGCGCCCAAGGCCCCCTTTCCCGCGATCCATGTAGGCCTAATAGACAATAGAGATAGAGAACATGGGAATTTATATGCAAAGTACATTAGTTTTATCCAAAAACAACTCGCTAATAAAGTAGGCCTATAATCTATCCGTGGGGGAGAGAGAGCGCAGTCCGAATTGGTCACACCGAACGCGTCAAACACGTCGCGTCTAGCAACGCATTCTCACCCCAAGGCGTCACCTTTGACCATGCTTCAATATTTGACGTTTTAGGCGCCCTTTAGCGTCACTTACATGACGCGATCCTACGGCGTCATCTAACTGACGCTAAAGGAAAGCGTCAGTTAGAGGACGCGGTTAGGTTTAGGTGTGGGGTGGGGGTAGGGTACACGCGATCCTAGGGCGTCATCTAACTGACGCTAAAGGGCGCCTAAAGCGTCAGATATTGAAGCATGTCCAAATGCTTCCCAAGGCGTCAGTTAGGTGACGCCTTGGGAGTGAGAATGGGCTGCGTCTAGTTAGACAACGCATTCTCACCCCAAGGCGTCACCTTTGACCATGCTTCAATATTTGACGTTTTAGGCGCCCTTTAGTCACTTACATGGCGCGATCCTACGGCGTCATCTAAATGACGCTAAAGGAAAGCGTCAGTTAGAGGACGCGGTTAGGTTTAGGTGTGGGGTGGGGATAGGGATAGGGTACACGCGATCCTAGGGCGTCATCTAACTGACGCTAAAGGGCACCTAAAGCGTCAGATATTGAAGCATGTCCAAATGCTTCCCAAGGCGT